TGAAAGATTTTTTTAATACGAATTAAGTAAATAATTAATAAGTAATTAAAATATCACATATGTTTAATTCTAGCTTAATTGCTGAATACTTCATTAATTTATTATTAAATGCAAATTCTGAACTCTTAAGTTCTATTTAGATGCAGTTTATGTACTTAATGTCTGCGTGTCAGAAATGGATGTTTTTGACCATGACAGCAATGACTGCAGAAGTTCTGGTTAGAGTTTCTGAAAATTTTCTAAGCAAAACAGGAAGTTTCCTGCTTCCTGCAGTTCACATTAAGACGAGTTACATTAGATAATGATTTAGCTAACGATCACCTGATTTCTAATGCATAAGTTCAATTTCATACATGTTTTGCCTAAAACCCATTTTTCTTGTAATATGATAGACAGTTATCGAAATGATTTTCAAAATTTATTGATCTAAAAATGATAATTAAAATAATTTAGCTTTACAGAGTATTATTAATTATATACAGAATATCCCTCCAATAATATTATGCTAAACGTAAAAGCTTTTTGAGATATGGATTACTTTTAGCAAATTAAGAAAAAAAAGGGTAAGAAATAAAATATAATTATTTTTTTTTTCTTGTATAAAAAATTACATTTAGCAAAATTATATGCGTAATATCAAATGCAAATAAAAAACAAAACTTTTCAAACCAAAACTATGTGTCTGGAAAAACGCTGTGTTAATGAATAAAAAGAGAAATTGCAATTTATATTGCATTTAATCCAGATCTCTGATACAGGTACGAACAGATTCGCTTTTGAAATAACCATTTCTTTTTAACTTAAATCTCTCTGATGGATATCCTGTAATATAAAATAAATAAAACACAATAAATTTAAATAAACGATAAACTTTCCTCATAGCGGTTTTTTTCAGTCCCTAGAGTAGACTGCAACTAGAGCACAAATAACAGAAATTCTATTAAATGTAATTGTTCTGCCAGTAGTTGTGGTATCGGAAGCTTCAATCTCTAGGATGGACATTATGAATGGATGGACTCAACTCATCTGCAATTTAACAATACAGTTTATCGAGTTCATTTATAAAGAGTAATCAGCTTTTCACTTCCAGGTTGGTAGATATTATGAGAATAATTTTGTCTACAGAAGCCTGCATACCGATACAATCGGCAACAGACTCACTTTCGAAACTTCAGCCATTCCTCAAATATGACCCCTCCTGTCGACCAACAATCGCACCTGCAACGTTTGCGACACGCAAAAGTCACGTTCTCTGGAACCGGAAACGTTGTTCGTCGCGTACAATGGGTTCCATTTTACCGTGGATGGCGGACGAACTATGACCTCGCGTGCAACATGATAATCGCAGCAGTGAGCGCAATTACGGCGTCGGACGATTAACGGTTCTCTCGCTCAGTAAAAGTGTACGCAATGGTAGCGAGAGAAGAGAAATCAAGTTGCCTCGAAGACAAGTTGAATGACGTTAAGTCGAAAAGAATGAGCGTTGAAAAAATAGCATGCGTGCGGTTGACACTGTTTCTCTGAATGCTGTCAAGAGTGTTTGCATAATGTTACATAGTTTGCATTTTTGTTTATGCATTATAAAACCGTTTACCGTTTATAATAGTTAAAAAACGTATTGTCCTCGAAGTTTTATAACAAGAAAGCACGCAAGCGTACAGACGATTTTAATTTCGGCGTTTTATAGGCCCCACAATTTCAATAAGGTTACGGATAGAAATTTCTCATCTATTATGAGTATTGTATGTTGCCTGACAGGATCTTACTAATTCTTGTAAAAGAGTAGAAATATTGCTTCGTTTGAGGCAGTGATTGTAGTTGCTGTTCTAATATAATAGTTAAATTGCACTTGAAAAAAGATTTTCTGCCTTGAAGACATTTCGAAAGGTCGAAAAAAATGCCTCCGAAGACCTAAAACAAAATTGATTCTTTCCCAAAACTGAGCTTTAAAGGAAAGAAAACCGAAATGCAAACTTAAAAATCAGCAAATTACGAAATTATTAAAGTAAATATATATAGATATATGTAAACGCACCGCCTTTGTAGTATCAGGTACTTCTCCTGAGCATTTCTCCTGAGGTTCTACTTAGCATGCCTTCGTGGTGTAGCGGTCAGCACATTCGGCGCGTATTCGAGAGATTCGAGTCCCGGCGAGAGCATTGCTCATTTTTTACGTCTCCTGTATCAAAATAACCTAATGTTTCTACAGTAGTACGTAGAGAGTATTTAATATTCTCTTAGATGCTTAATTGAGAAAGATATAAATTTAAGATTTTAATATATTGTGTTTACATTTTTCTGTTATTATATTCTATAAAATTTACTTTTATACAAAGGAAAAAAATAGCCCCCCTCCGCCTCTCCCAAAATAGCTTTAGACACTATTCTTTTTACGCCATACCGTCGATTTTCATTAGCCAAAATGTGTATCAGAAGCACGATAAAATTTAAAGTTTCCCTACAACGAGTTCCAATTATCACACATTTTAGTTCTCAGTAATTTGATAAAAAGTTAGATTCAAAGGTTTTAGATAGAAAAGTAACAGAATTAATAATGTATCTATTATTTGTTTTAAAATGTATGTGTAACTGGTATACATTTACGTTTTTTTTTTTTTTTTTTTTTTTTTTTTTTTTTTTTTTTTTTTTTGTGTGTGTGTGTGTGTGTGTGTGTTCAATTTTAAAACCAGATACATAAAATGCAATACAGTTTATGCCCACGCAATTGAAAGCATTATCGGTTTCCCTTAAGTAACCTTTATTTCATCAGAAATATTATTAAGGAGTATTCAAATAAATGTTTATTATATAGAATAATTCTGATTTCTATCAAACTTCTCCTTAAGAAATATTGAACGAGTTAGCAAATATTCAACAAGTTTTCATCAGTCAGAGTCAAAAGTGCGTAAATAAATCTATATTAGTGACTTACTGCTTAAAGTGGGCAAACTTCTCTCATTTCTGTCCATTCTAAAGATTCAGAATTGCGGAATACGCAAGCAAATAAGAATGCACTTTTAAAAAATGGAAAATTTTGAGCGGTACATCTGAGAAATACGCACATTAGAAAAGAAGAAATTGTAGAGAATTATATTAATTGAAATATATTAAAGCGTTTTATCATCTACATTAATTTTAGGCTTTAATTTTGAACTTATTTAAAGTAATTATCTATATATATTATATATAGGTAATTTAAATAAAAGATTATTAGTTTTGGTATATATTAATCATTGTTAATTTTATATATTTCCTATTTTAAGACGTACCTTTTTCCATATATAAGAACTTTTAAACACAGAACACGCAGGGCTTAATTTCTAAAATCTGAAGTACCGGAGTCCTAGAGAAGACCATCAGAAAGAAGGGAAAATAAATAAATATAATAACTTTATAAAAAATTTAAATAAAAAAAATATGAAAGGTTTCAGATTTTAACGATCGCCCAAAAGGGTATGCTAAGGTTTTTTAGGCTCTCGCTCAGTTTGTAGCCAACCAGTCTACTGTTACACTCACTCCTACTAAACCATTCTTTTTTTGTCTTTTTAGCTTTATTATTAAGCACCATTTCCGTCGAACTTACGACATATACAATTCAACAGCAAAAATTACAAAAATTTTAAAAGCAGTATATCATTATACGCTAAAGTTACCCCTGCAGCGTTAAGTGTTGGGATACATTTTTCTTCTTTTTTGAGTGTTTTCTCAGTTCATCATATGAACATTGAGTTTTCTTACTAGGCTTTACAAAAACTTTTTTTCTTTTTATTATTATATTTTTGTGTGCTTACTTCATTTATTTTACTTTATTTAGCTTTATTTATGAGTTTAATTTATTTATTTTACTTTATTTCGCTTTATTTATGTGTTTAATTACTTTATTTTTACTTTATTTGCCCAAAGGGACGTTATCCCAGAACGACTATTAGTCCCGAAACAGCATTTTGCGTCGAACCCCTATCACTTTTCAGATTGTTGCCCCGAAATATTATTGCCCTGTATTATATCTAAAGACATTAAATAATGAAGAATTATTTAATATCTTTAGACAAAATACAGTCTGTCGATATAATAATTGCATGAATGTATGTACGCATCTCGTTTTATTTTATTTTATTTATTCTCTGTGCTTGCTCTGTGTAAATGACAGTTTTGTTCTCCGTGTTTGGTTACATGGCTAAAAAATTCTGCATTGAGTTCTGCAGTGAGCATCATTAGAGTTGCATGAACAACGACTAAAGTGACCACTTTCAGTACTTTCTAGAACAAAAAATTTACCCGCTCTCATAAATTTATCGCTTTTCCTGAAATATTAGCCATTTTATATTACATGTGGGTAAATCTCAACCTCCGTCCGAGGTTTTTGTCCTTGGGAAAGACAGGCGTGTATTCAGAAGTTAGAATCCAATTTTAGGCGACGTTAACCATTAAAATAAAACCTATCTACTGAAACTGCGGTTCATTTACATAAGAGAAATGCCGGAGCCCTTTTATTTAAGGCTAGAATTCCCGTTTATCCCCAAAACTGAGAAGCATCGGCGCAATTTAAACGCTGAGAATACAGATTAGAATCGATAGTCTTACAATAACAGTTTTAGTAAACTTTTCTGTGCACATAACAGAATACATTTATTTTTTGTCTTCCGCTCACTTAAAATTGCTTTGCCGCTAATGCTCTCTTTGACTCAGAAATATTATATATTACAGGATAACGGAGACAAAGACGGCTTAGAAAAATCATATTCTTGATCTATAAGGGGCTATTCAGAATCAGGTTCGAAACACATATTCATTTCAGAGGCCGAATACAGTGGGAGTGCTATAAGGTTCACTCCTAAACCCCTTATTATAAAATAACAAACACTTAACATTTTAAAACAGGCTAAAATTCAGACAGCATTATTCGCTGTCGACACAGCTATTCCGACACAAACTCCAACACTAAGAAATAATTACAATCAGTTAGAGCATTATCTTGATTTGTTGAAAGCATGGCTTACCGTTTGGAAAATCTCAGGTAACCTCAACAAGTCAAATGAAATTTTATTTCGCAAAGTGCATTCATTCAATTTCTACGTTTCTTACATTTCCACATTATTTAAAGAACTAACCTGAAAGCAAAAAGTCACGTATCTAAGCATCATGTTCAATAATAAACTCATATTTTAATGTAAATTTGCTAATTTAGAAATAATTTTAATATTTTCTTGGCAAACTTATAATCTCTTTGCGTTAAATACAGCAGTTTTTCTCTTAATAATAAAATGACACTATTTAAAACAATAATCCGTCAGGACTTGGTTTACATCTTATCTATGTGGGGGATATGCCAGCATTATTTTAAAGCGGCACGTCTTTCATACATAGAAAAATTTAAATATTATTCACAGATATCCTACATACTGTACACACGATTCTCGGTTTACAAAACATTATTGTCGGAATCGAAGAAATATGGTAAATATATTCATTAAATAACAATTAATATAATTATACAATACATCAGTAACTTCACATTAGAACTGATATGAAGAAGTGATTTATTTTTCATTAAAAACTCTTCAGCGTTTCAAAATGGAACATTGAGAACATTGCATGTTACTCATGCAAATGAATCTGCTTAGGAATTTTTTGAAAGAAATGTACGTTTTCGAAGACGAATTATACTTTTCTATCAGTAACACACTAATATCGAAATACTTCATAATTTGTACGTATTTTCAAACTCTAATTAATATGCCTAGTACTATGCAAATAACGCATTTTTAAAGCTTATTAATTATAACGTTTTTTGGTGTTAAGAAAGTAGTTATTATAAATTAAAAATAAAAGATACATAATTAAAGATAATTGGCTGGTTTTGAATGTTACTGAGTATTCACTTTAAAAATTATACTGGCAATTATTTTTTATTTTTAAATAAATGCACATGTACCACATTATTTCGGCAGATAATCATACTATTAGAATTAAGTATATTTTAATATTTGAAAGGAAGAATGTTAAATTTTCATTGGTAGATAGAGTGCAGATTTTCTTTTTATAGTAGAAGCAAAATTTGAAATGCCACTGATAATCTATACTATTACGAGTTCATTCAAAATACTAGCAACGTTATCAGTACTTCAAGAAAGCAAATAATTGTGATATTTGTAGAATAATTTGCACAACTTGCGAAGAACGAAGTGAGAAATACTTAAATCTAATAAATGTTTCAAAGCAGTATTTGTTGTTGAAGACCACTTGGAACAAAATATAAGTGGTTTTTTTTTTTTTTTTTTTTTTTTTTTTTTTTTTTTTTTTTTTTTTGTCTTTTAAGCGTTTTGAGAAAAGAAACGATTGTCGCGTATACGGCGGAACTTCAAACTCAAGATACAAAAAAGAAAAGAAAACCAAGCCACCATTATGAGCAAATTTTTCTCCTCCCAGTGGCAACGAGAGCTACGCAATCGCCTAACTGTTCTTTTTTGAAACAATGACGGATTAGCTATGAAGGTCGTTACATGGGTCTCATATGTCAGCAATTATGCTGAAGATTAAATGGTAGTTGAGGTAGGCAAGGATACAGCATGTCTTCATTTTCAGAGGGACATATCCTCTGAAGGGAGATTGCAAGAACTGTAAAACTAAAATCACATTTTCAGATTTCTTACATAGCTAACTGGAAGGGAAATGATGTTCATATAAACGCTATTTATCTAATTTTATTAGAATTTCCGTTAACTTCTATAATTTTCAGCACCTGCTCATACAATAGAAGAATTGAAATTTCTTTTAATTAAATTTTTAAATTTTAGGGTGACTTTGTAATTAAGAAACTGTTCTTGTGACTTCAGTTTTTGATCAAAAAGATTAATTGATTTTTCTAAGATTGATTTGAAATTTATTTTGTTAAAAAAGCATCTGTAAAGATTATGCATTTTCTACGTTGGTCGTATATTTTTACTACAGAATTTAATCAGCCATTACTTAAAAATTTGCATTTAACTAATTGGGAAACTGAAACGGAGAAGCCTGCAGCTCTTTTTATTAGAACGTACTAACGTACTAGTGGAATCAGTGAAGCATTTTCAGGAAAAATCTAGGATATAATTAATTTTTAGTTTTTCAATTCGCTAAATAGTTCATTTAACTAGTGGAACTTTTAACTAAATTTTAATTGATTCATAACCTAATTCTCCTAGTTTTAATTTTAATTAATTTCTAGTAAAAATTTGCTTTTATAGATTGGTAACATGATAAATTCTTTTTCAGTTTCTTTTACCAAAGCGTTTGGCTTCGAAACTTCTAATGAAAAATATATTCCTCCAAATAAAAAAACTTGCTATCATAGAACGGTCATATTTAAAGTTATATTTAATCTGCACAATACTTCATATTTTAAAGCATTAATTATGAAGGTAAAAAAAAATACGTCTTTAAGTCTTCAAGAACTTTTTGACTCAAAAATGCGTGAAAAATTTTCTCTTTAAAAATGAAATTTTAAAAAGCTCTTTAAGTTAAAAAAAAATTTAAGAGCTAATGAAGCATTTTACTCATTTTCATCTCAAAATCGAAACTTTTGGAATCACTATATTAATAATTCAAAAGATAAAACTTTTAGTTCATATGAGTTCATTTATTTTGTCATTTAAGACGTTGTAATATTTCATTATTTAACAAATTTATTATCCTTGATATTGGAGTGGCAACACCACATTTGATATCGTCTGTATTTTTTGTATCTTGTAACCGTTGCCAAGCAACGTCAGAAAATGTTTAAAAATTGATTCTTCTAAAAGTTTTACAAGTATAGTAGATGTATGAAAAATTTGTAACTAAAAGATTGTATTCAAGTAATCTCCATAAACTAAAAATAAAATTTATGTTTTCCTAAGAAGATCATCTGTTATTTTGTTAAATACCGCAAAATATATTACAACGTTCTATATTTAATCTATTAGAAAATATAGTTAAATCATCAGTAATATATTCATTAGGTTCGATGCCAAGTACATTCCAAGTTGTACATTGTACATTCCAAGTACATTTCGAAGTTGCTACGTTTCATTTAAAGTAGTATTAAACGAGCATTTAAATTATCTTGTCACGAACTCAAGCGAGAAACTTTAAAACACGTAAGTGCGATGCGATTATTTTTAATCTTAATCGTTTCTTAGAGGTCAGCAATATATTTAATTGAAAAATATTTCATCTTAATCAACAGGGTACTGTTCTAAACTCCCACACAGTCACCGACGCACACAGTTCAAACAAAACTGATTGTTGGGCAGCAGCACATTCTTCTTATATGGGCTTTTTCATTGCCGAGCAAGTATTTGCTCGTCGATGCTGTAAGGGTCGTCGAATGTCTAAGTAGTCAATGGAAGAACCTTGAAGGACTCTACATTTTGGCACAATAGAAAACAATTACTGGCCTTTTAGCTTATTTGCTCGAGGTAATGGACATAGAAAAGTGGAGAGCCAATTTTGCCATACTTTTTTTGGCTGATTATTTTACTACTTTCCCTTCCTTTTTAAAAATTCTAAATTACCATTTTTTTAGCAAAATAACATTCTTTTCAACATTCTGTAGCACTGTACTAACGCTTGATTTAAAAGGCATAACCCAAATGTTTTACAAAAATATTCAATAGTCGCAGTTAAAAATAGTTGTAATTTTGAAGTAAATTTAAGACTTTAATTAAGATTTTATCTTATATTAAGGAGGAAAATTTCTTTCATACCAGGCGTTTTATAAATTCTTTCAAAGAAATTGCTTTCATAACTATGCATCTTCTTTTCGCCTTTGCAATAATTCCTTAAAATATTGAATATGTTGCTTTAAAAACGCACGATAAATACTAAACTAAATCCGTAACTGTCAGTTATATGGGAAAAGCTTTCAGTGAAGGTGCAATATCTTAATAATAATAATATTAACAAAACACCGATGTTGATATATATTCATTGAATACCTCAACATTTTCCACAAAATCTACGATTCCTCTCCTGAAATGCTTATTATTAGCCCAAAGAGGCGTTAGACCCAAAGGGTATTAATATTAGGATATGTTAACTGGCTGACTAGTTGTTACATTTAGACTTCTAATTAATATATGTTTGCCTAAAATGGCAACATATTAACATTCGACATTTTTTAACAGAGCCAGAATACAATCAGTAATCACAAGTTACCACTGTACAACTTGATGATAAGCATGGCTAACCGATAAGTATAGAATGTTACTATCCGATGAATATAGCACGAAACTTTTATGATTTTTTCTATTTATGCTGGAGAACGGAACCAAAAATCTGTAGGTAGGGAAGCTCTCTCGCATTGAATTTAAGCTGCAATTACGATATTCGTTTATTCGTTAATTACATTTTTGCTTATATCTTACATACAGAGGATATTATCATGGCTTCTATTACATGTATCTTTGATTCATATACTCATTCATGATAAAATACCGATTTATTTACCCTAGCAAATTTATCTTTAAAATTTAAGTAATCTATAATTGATAAACAAACTGAAAAGTTCTTAGGTTAGGTTAGGTTAGGTTATTCAATTACGGCAAAGCCTCGAGGGCTATCTGCCTAAGGGGAGGGATGCCTTCGTGGAGGACTTTCTAAGGGAAACTGGCTCGTATACACGTTACACATGGGGAAAACCACGAAAACACCCATGCAGCCAGCCCGTTCGCGGGATTCGAACCTCGGACCGAACTACCAGTGTTCAGCGACTTTACCGCTCGGCCGCTGGTGGGCTCCTGAAAAGTTCTTAATAAATCTGTTTACTTTTTTAATAATGTATACAAGTGATATAATTTATAATATATATCTAACCTATAACTTTTATGAAAGTTAGCAGATTTGTTGTAATTAATAAAAGAGGTAGACATTTTTAATCGTAAATTATTTTAAAATAATAAACTGCGATTTGAAGTTTTCCAATTTCATTTCTCCCTCTCTTTTCAATATCTTTCAACTATTAAAAATTACTTCAAAGAAGTTTGAGTTTCATAAAATGGCATCATAAATGCAATCTTTCAGCTTTTTTTTTAACAAACAACAAATAAGGAAAAAATTCTGAAAGGTTTCAGATTTTAACTTACGTCCAAAG